GCTGCAGCACCGCCTTGGTACAGGTCTCAAGGGGGTCACGTCATGTGCGAGGGGCGCGCCATCCTTCTCTGTCTCTCTCTCTCTCTCTCTCTCTTTCTCTCTCTCTCTCTCTCTCTCTTTTTCTCTTTTTCTCTCTCTCTCTCTCTCTCTTTCTCTTTCTCTCGTTTTCTGTTTGTTTTCTGTCTCTCGCTCTCTCTCTCTCTCTCTCTTTCTCTATCTCTCTGTCTCTCTCTTTCTTTTTTTGTGTGTCTCTCTCTCTCTCTCTCTTTCTCTCTCCTTTTTGGACGCCCGGGGCCACCACGGCGACAGGCCTAGAACTAGACGAAAAGAGGGGGTGGACGGCTACACGCGCGTCCGCGTATCAGGCTTCGGCCGACTACGAAATTACGACACGAACGAGACGGCGTCGTCTAAGGCGACAGTCTCGGCGGTGAAAGATAAGACAGGCGTTTCGAAATATATGCCGCGAAGTGCTACGGGAAATGTGACGATGGCCGCGTTGGCCAACAACGGCTTCGACGACCCGGGGGGCGGCCAGCAGCGCCCGTGTCAATGAGGGGCGAAAATCTGCCGCTTCGGGCGGTGTCCATTGTAAAGTTGGCGAAAAGGTTGGCGATCTTGTTACGATCGAGCCGTTGACAAACGACTGGGTCTGCTGGGCGCGACGCTGGCGCCCAACCGTCTACAAACATGTTGAAAAATGTAGCCGTCGTTCGTGTGAGGGCCGGGGACAGCGAAGCGTCCCGGAGCGGAACGGGTCCACAAATGACCTCTGCAAGCGGTTTACAGTCTTCAGCACAAGTCCAGCAGTGGCAGTCACGCCTTAAAAAAAAAGAAGGCAACGCTGACCGCGACGGGACAATTTTCCGAATTGTCGCTGCTGCTCTTGGTCCGCTTGGCACCACGTGGCCCGGCAGTGCAGACGCAGGCCCAGGCAATGTCCACAGCGTGCAGACTGTACGAACGAAATGCGGGCGCGAGGCTCTTCACGCCTGTGAGTCCAGACAGGCGTCTCGCAAGGACCACCACGCAGGACCCCAGCGCCAAGCAGAACACATCCTCCCATTCCGTGCAGTAGCCCCTGCCGTTGAGCACTACCGCCTTCTGCTCGCCGTCGCCTTTCTAGATGCTTGTCCTTGGCGGTCTCTCTCTCTCTCTCTCTCTCTTTCTCTCTCTCTCTCTCTCTCTCTTTCTCTCTTATTTGTTTCTCTCTCTCTCTCTCTCTCGTTTGTTCTCTTTGTTTCTCTCTCTCTCTCTCTCTCTTCACTTCGTTTTTTTCTTTGCTTCTTTATGTCTCTCTCTCTCTCTCTCTTTCTCTCTCTCTCTCTCTGTCTCTTTCTCTCTCTCTCTCTCTATTTCTCAATTTCTCTCTTTTTCTCTTGTGTTGTTTCTCTCTCTCTCTCTCTCTCTCTCTTTGTCTCTTTTTCTCTTTTTTGTTTCGGCCTCTGTCTAACAAGCGTCATCCTTGGCGTTGCTCCCGAAAGTTGCTTCGCGTTTCTCGATATTAGTTGGCCTGGCTTTGCGCCGAGGTGCTCTGCCTGTTGTTGGTTCTCTTGTTCACTGTTTGGCGTTGCCCTGCTGGCTTCGGTCTGCTGGACGAGGTGCCGGCCGCCAAGCACCCCCTGCTATCGAAATCGGCAAAACATCGGCTCAGGGATTGGAGCCAGCGCAGATCCGCCGGGCTGGTGGGAGGCACGTGCTGGGCCCAGGCCCCACCGCGTGTCCCACGCACCCCCAGCCCGTCCGACCCTCGCCGCCAGGCAGGTGACCCGAACCGCTGCCCGGCACGGAGGGAGGAAGGCCGAGGCCGCAGGAGCGCCGCAGGAGCCCGGACGGCGCAGGCCGCGGAGCAGCGCACGAAGGCGCAGGCGAGCCAGGAGCACCCCGCGGGAGGCGGAGGGGGACCCGGCCGCCCTGCGCGTTAAAGGGGCTTGGGGAGACGGGTGCGGGTGCCCGCGGCTCTCGAGGCGGCTGGCGGGGCCCCAGCGCGCAGCAGAGCCAGGAGAGAGAGGGGCGGCGCCGAAACCGCCAACGAGCAGGAGAGGCGCAGGCCCGCGCCCGTGGAGCACCCGCCTGAAGAGACGAGCGGCGGCCCGCGCGCGGGACGCGCGGCCGCGCCCGCCGCGCGCGAATCAGCCTGGCGAAAAACCGGACCGTACGCAGTTGGAAACACAAAGTTGTTACTAGTACCGCCTTCGGTGGGCCTCCATCTGCGGCCACGGCGCGCAAGAGTGCGCAGAAAAGCGGCAGGACGGAGCCCCCTTATGGGGCCACGACACATTATGCAAGGCGCGCCAGAAAAAGAAGACGCCGCCAGGCAGACTGCGCCTCTGGGTGGAACTCTCTATGGGACCATGACACGTGAAAGGGATGTGTGCTTGCCGTGGCGCTGCTTTTTGGCCGCCCTGGCTCTGCTGGACATTCTATCGGGCGGTTGCGTGCTCATGTCCCTCCTGGGCAGCGACAGCGTCTGGCCAGCCGCGCGCGCTGGGCCTGGGCGCGCGCCCGGGGCCCCCAGCCCCGCGGCGCAGGCAGCCCACTTTCCGCGCGGGCGGGGAGCGAGGGGGGGGGGGGACACGTCTGCGCGGGCCGACTCACGTCTGGAGCACAACGGGGGGACCTGCGCGGCGCCCACGAGAAACCAAGACCGGCGAACTGCGCAACTTGTCGCGCGGAGTCCCCCCGCACGGTCTGCTGATTGCTTCGAGCAGAGAGGGGGGGCAGAGAAGGAAAAAAAACTCCCTCGGCAAGGTTTGCGCTGGGACAAATCCATGCGGTACTTGTTGGCGGTGGTTCCTTGTGCTCGTGAGGCCGTGTGGCCCGCAAGAACGCCCCAGCATCAACGAGAACCTGTGCCACTACTTGAAGAACTCTGGCGACACACTGGCCAGGCTGGCGGTGTCTAGCGAAACAGGTGGGCTCTGGCTTGACGCCTGCCTCTCCTCTACAGCGTTGTTTGATACGACGTTTCCCCCGCCCTCCCCCTCCCACCTCCAAGGCCGCCTGTGGCACTCCCAGCGCACGCAAGCCGCCATGACACCGAAGACGCTGCGGAATCGAATTCTGGAGCTCGCCACAGGCAGCTGCTTCTGCACTGCTCGGTCGCGGAGCGGCCCGGGGGTCGGCGAGGGCTGCCAGCATGCTTTCTTATCACAGCGTGTCCTGCGAAGAGCGGCGGGAGACCCGACCTTCTGCCACCCACGGGCGCGCCCCGGGCCCCGCCTCGCCCACGCCTCCGCGGGCCAGGGGCCGAGCGTCAGACCGGCGGCCGCCGAGGCGGAGGCCCGGGCAGAAGCGGTGCTTGCTGCAACGGGCCCCGTCGCCGCCGAGGGAGGCGCCGGGCACGCGCAGGCGGCGCGGGGGGCGTCAGCACGGGAGGGCGGCCGGCCGTCCGGGGCTCCGCCTGTGAGAGGCCGCCCTGGTCGCCTCGGGCGCCGCCACGGCGCACAGGCGCGCCGGGGAAGGCGACCGCGGCGTGGCCTGCGGTGGGCATGGTTCTTGCCACCGCCCCCAGAGCGGGCTGCGTGGCTGTGGCAGACAGGTGGGATACCCTCGGTGCTCGAGTGGAAGTCGTTGTGTCGTCAGCGCGGGGAGGGTGCTTCGCTTAGCGGCTGGGATTGGACCTCGCGGCCTCCGCGGGGGGACGTTGGATGGGCGGGCAGTGCTCTCTGGCGGGCGGGGCCTCGAAACAACACCAAAAACGTCCAGCTGCACCCCGCGTGCGCGTTTCACGGGAGCAGCGTCCACGCGTCACCCACAGGAGGCATGCCAAGAAAGGCACCGACGACAAGCAGTAAGAGGGCAAGACAGGGGGCAGGACGAGGGAAGGGCACATGGTCTGGACTTGCGGCACAGTGTTTTCTGCAGGGGGGCGACGGCAGGACGGCAGCCGAGAACGAGGGTGCCGGCCCGTCCGCACGGTGCCTGAGCGGCCGTGTACAAGCCCAAGGATACGGTCAACACGTACGATAAGGACGCACGATGAGGATGCACGGGCCTCCCAAGGCCACGCCGACGCTCTGCGAGCGGGCCGCGGCCAGCGAGAGCGCCCAAGGGTGGGCCGAAGGGGAAAAAAAGGCGAGGGTGACCCTGGAGAGCTGCACGTCCTTCCTCCGCGGGTGGACTTGAAGGCGCCCACACGGCGACGGTTGGCGACGTCGGCGGCGGGGGCCACGGCGCAAGGAGAGCCAAAGAGGGGGGGCGCGGCACGGGCGCCGGGGCGCCGGGGGGGGGGGGCAGGCGGAGCGGCAGCCCCGACAGGGAGGAAGCCGGACGCCGGACCTGGAGCCGCCCCGGGCCAACGGAGGGGGGAGGTGGAGACGGAAGGAGGGAAAAGCGCCCTTCGCACGTTGCACATGTGGCGCTCCGCGCAGATTGCCTGGATCTGATCTGGAAGCCCATCCACGCTCCCCTCCTGCCCCTCCTCCCCCTCCCCGCCCTCTCCCCCAAGACTTTCCCCGCCCCATCCACGCCCCCCTCCTGCCCCTCCTCCCACTCCCCGCCCTCTCCCCCAAGACTTTCCCCGCCGCCCCTGCACGGGACGTGCCCACGCCGAGCTGTGTTCTCCTCAGGGGCCCCGCGAGCGAGCGAGTCGAGAGCCAGAGAGGCCGCCCGCTGCGACGCCGCAGGCACGAGGAAAAAAAGGATGGAGGAGAGGAGGCAGGAGGAGGCAGGAGGAGGCAGGAGGAGGAGGAGCGAGGAGGAGAGAGGAGGCAGGAGGAGGAGGAGCGAGGAGGAGAGAGGAGGCAGGAGGAGGAGGAGGCAGGAGGAGGAGGAGGAGGAGGAGGAGGAGGAGGAAAGGGAGAAGAGCAGGACTCGGGGCACACGATCGTACACGGAGGAGGTGAGAAGGATGGACAGGGGCGACGAACACGGCCGCGACGACGACCACGACGAAGGGGTGGCGCAGGAGGCGGAAGAGGAAGGCGGCAGCGGGGGGTAGAGGAGGAGAGGAGGTGGGAAGGCGGAAAGTGGAGGCGGAGGAAGAAGGAAGGAGGTGGAGGCAGGAGAGCGAATTCTGCGCGGCGCGGTCCCCCTTTTCTCGTGCCGCGCAGACGACCCGAAGTCGCAGCCAGCTCCATGCGGGCGCCGCGAGTTTTGCGGCCGTCGCGCAAGAGGGGGCAGAGGCGATCCAGGAGGCACAGGGAAGACACACCCAGACCCCCTATCGCCTCGTGCCTGTTTTTCAACGCGGCGATTCCCGCCTGGGCGTCAAGTTTCGAGCGCGTTATGTTCTGGGTGTCTGAAAGCGAGCGAGTCTGAGCATGAACGAGCCTGAATACGAGCGCCTGCGTGTGAGTGGGTGTGCGTATGAGCGTCTGCACGTGATGAGTGGGCCTGGGTGCGAGTGAGCCTGAGTACGCATGGCCGGACGTAAGCGGGCCTGCCGGTGACTGGGCTCGAAATGGAGTTGCTGTAAGTCTGCAGATCAGAGCGGGGGAGGAGGAGGAGGAGGAGGAGGAGGAGGAGGAGGAGGAGGAGGAGGAGGCGGAGGAGGAGGAGGGGGAGGAGGAGGAGGGGGAGGGGCGCAGTGTGGCCGCAGAGGAGGTCCGCACCCGCTGGGCGCGCGAAGGGGCACAGGTCATACCCCGTGGCCAGTGGCGGCTCTCCGTGGGGTGGCTCCGAGGGCAGTGCCTGCTCCATCGCGGTCGTCATGCTTGTGATGATGACAAGGTGGGCGGCGCGCACGAGGGGCTGGAGGGAGGGGGAAGGCTTCTTGGAAGGAGGCCGCTTCTTAGAAGGCGCCGGCCTCACGTCTGCAGATGAGGCCCGCGCCTTCTGAGAAGCAGGGGTGCTTCTGGGAAGCCCGTCCCCCCTCCCCCCACCACCCTCTGCGCGTGGCTGACGAGAGGCTCGTTTTCGGGCGCGAGCGGGCCCGTGAGTCGCCCCTGGTCGGGCCCCGCCTGGGGGGCCACGGCAGATCCTGCCCGCCGGGGCGCGGTGAGCACGGCGTGCTCCGAGGGGCGGCTCTCGCCGACCCTGAGAGAGCAAGCGCTTCGCCTGGAAGGCCCTCACAATCTTGAAGGGGCCCAGGGACACACCAATAAATACACACAAATTAAAAACATCCCCACATTTTCTCACATTTTCTGGGTCTCTGTCTTCCCCCCCACTTCCCATATCTTCCCACATTCTCTGGGAAGTCGACGATGAATTGTGTCTGTGTGTGTTTTTTCCCCTCCTAGAATCTGGGCGAGGACGGGACCTGCCACATCGCTGCGTTCTCGGCGCGCGATGGACCACAAAAGGCGCGCACACCCACCAAAACCAACCATTCTACACCACGCGAAATGGTTAAGAAATCATGGGTTAAGAAATTCATGGTCTCAGAACTTGAATAAAAACCCAACGTTTCTATCAAAATCTTAGGATTTACATTGAAACGTTAAGAATAATCGAGACTCTGGCCGGAAACTTAAGTTTTCTTAAGCATCGCCTAAGGTGTACTTCAAAGGTCTCCAGGTCCCCAGGCGTCCGCGTCCCGAGCGTTTCCGAGCCCCCCTCCCCGCGGAGCGGAGCGACATGCTTCAGGCTTGTCCCTCCACGGGGGGGATATTCAAAAATAGTCAACAAATAGTCCGGGGACGACTTTTCTACTGTTTTCCACAATGTGGGCGCGGACCCGGCCGTGATACACCCCTGGTCGGTTCCCCCTGGCAGGCCCAGATGTCACGCCTCCTGCATCGCGATGTTTCTGGGGCTCTACCCCTCCAAAACTAAGCGGGCACACACCTTAGAGGCCCCGCAGTCTGACTGTTACTGGGGCCGTGATACACCGCTGGTCGGCCCCCCCTTTGGTAGGCCCAAATACCATGATTGCCGCATCACGTTTAACTTGAGTGCGAGTCGGTTTGAATATGAGTGCGTCTGGGCGTGGGCAACTCTGGGTACGACTGTGTTTTTGAGCGAGCCAGTCTCCGCCGTGGCGGGAGCGCCATGATCGGACGAGATCTGCGCAGCGCCGAGGCGAGCGCCACGGCTTCGTCCGGCCGCGCGCCGACGAGCCAGCGGGCGAGAACGTGCGTCAAGCCCGCGCGGGAGCTGCGTTCTCTGAGAAAGACTGCGAGAAAGACTGCGCGCGGCAACGAGGGCCAGAGCGACCTTTTCTCGCCCCCTCTCTCTGGCGCGCAGGGTGCACCCCTCTGTCCCCCTCCCGCCAGCGCCTTTCTGCAGCGCCGGCGACAAACACACACACACACACACATGCACACACATGCACACACACACACACACACAACGCCAGTGTTGAAGGGAGGGGGAAGCGCTTCCTCTTTTTTATCGAACAAGGGAACACATTCTTTTTAAACAAAAGGGAGGAAAACGACTGCTGCTTTGTGCTGAGCTTCGCCGTCTGCTGGCCCGTTGGCCCAGGAGCACTCCCGACGGGAAATAGGCATGAGTCTTCGCTCTCTCGGTGTGGCTGAAAATGAGTGCTTCGAGTGTGCGTGATTCTGGGCACGAGTCTGAGCGTGAGCGAGTCGGAGTACGATGAATCCGAGTCTGCGCGTTCTGGGCACAAGCAAGTCTGAGTGGGAATAAGCGACACATGAGTGAGTCTGAGTCTGAGTGAGTCCGAGATGAATGAATCGAAGTCTGAGCTAGTCCGAGTGCGAGTCTGAATGTGACTGGTTCTAAGTATGAGTGAGTCTCGAAGGGAGGAAGATCAAGGTGAGGCGGGGGCGTACCACAAATAACAGGGACCTGATATTCAGCGGATGGGGAAAAACTCAACGGGATGGTTTGGGTAATTTTCGACCTCAGGGATCTCACCAAACCCTGGATCTTCAAAAAACTGTTCGGGGTGACAAGCTTGTCCCCCAGGGTGTGTAGAGAGAGGACCAGGGGTCCACGATGTGAGAAGGAAAACGGAACAAAAAAACAGCGCCAGGAGTCTGGGTACGGCTGGCTCCTGCCGTGACGACACCACGCTGGCTTCTGACACCACGTTGGCCTCTGACAACGCGCAGATCTGTCCCCGAGCGGAGGTCGCTCGAGACTGGCCTGGCTCCAGCCACGAGGAGGAGGAGGAGAAGGAGGAGGAGGAGGAGGAGGAGGCCCTCAACCCTGGGCACCCGCGCCACCGCCGCCGCCGCCGTCGACGCAGCGCGAAGCCTGCAGCACGGAGGGGGAGGGGGGGGCGGGCGGGCGCTCTCACGCCCGCGGCCGCGAGCGCGCCGAGCTCGACGCTGCGCCCGGCACCGCCGGCGCCGGGGGAGCGCCTGCCCGCGGGTGCGCGGGGCCAGGCTACTGAGTAACTCGGGAGCGGCCAAGAGGGGGGTGTCCAAGAGGGGCGGGAGGCAAATCATGGCCGGCGGCATGTGCGCGGCCAGCGGGGGGGCCAGGGACGTCATGGCATGAGAAGGGGCGCCCTGAGATCTGGGGAGATCTCATGGCCCCCGCCATGAGATCCACCCCCCCTCTAGTCATCGCCCCCCTCTTTTCCGCCCCCGAGCAGCATCTGCCGGGCCGGCCTCGCGGGCACGGGCAGGATATGGCGCGCGTTCTCTCGCCCCGCGCCGCGCCAGACTCGAGGGGAGCGGAACTGCTGGGGCGCTCTGTGGAGCCCGCCGTGGGCCTCCCGAGGCCCGCGGAGAGCCCCGTCGAGAGCTCCAAGGGGGGGCCCTGCGGGCTCCGGGGGGCCTCTCGGGCGACGCGCGGAGACTTCCGGGGGCCTGCGGGGGCTTCTCTGGAGGCCCCCGGAGCCGTCGCCCAACACCTGTGCCTTGGCTCCTCGTGCACGCTGGCTCCCAAAAACGGAGCTTGAAGCTCTGTTCCCTCGTCTCGCCTCCTCTCACCAGCCTCGAACATATCCCTATCCCTAAGATTGACACGCCCAAAGGCGATGACAATCTCAGGGATGCGCCCTGAAAAACTGAGGGAATCCCTAAGATTGGCATCGTGATGAGGCGATGCCCAGCTTAAGGATAGGGATATGTTCCAGGCTGGTAATCCTCGCCTCCCTTGCGCCCCCCAAGAGGCCCGCTGCTGACTCTGGTATCGTAGCTGCGGGGCGTGGCAAGCAGGGCCATCGACGCGACGGAGCCCCGAGGGCGCCCGACGCACGCGGGAGGCGCGGTGGCCAACAGATTAGGCTGCAAGCAAGTGAGGACATACAGCAAAAAAAAAAAAAAAAAAAACGACGAAGTGCCCGCATGGGCATAGAGTAACTAAGCAATCAGCTCGTAAGGGAGGAGGGGGAATACGACCACAGTAATCCTCGTCCTAATCCCAGGCCTCCGACGACCCGATTTCTGTTGAGCCGTCGGGCCCCACCCACCCACCCCAGACCGGCCGCCCATGCGGAGTCGCTGTTAGCACCGCACGCGCGGATGGACGAGAGAGGCCCTCCGTCCCGCTTCCATGCGGAAAACGGACGGGCCCTGGGGGAGACGGGTGCTGGACCCGGGGCTTCCCCGAGGGTCGGCTTCTCATCTTGGGTCGCCTCCTGACGGCCCAAGGGCCCGAGAATGGGCCCCAGGAGCCCGAAGGCGGCAAAAGCCTTCAGGACCCCTTTCATCCAGGATTCCTCTCCTTCGTGGCGACTTCTGCTTGTGGCGCTCTCTGGTCAAGATTCCAAGGTGACTCCAGCAGTGGCGGCGAGAAGCGATCTGGAGAGCCAAATTGTCCTCGCGAAGGACCCAGCCATCTGCGGCATTGAATACCGCACTTGTGAGAACATCGCCTTCCGTGGAGCGCCCTGTGGGGTCACGAGACATGTGAGAGATGCGTCCACATGGGCCCGGAAGCGTATGCGGGCTGTGTCACCGGGGCCCTCGGTGGAGCTCCGCAGGGGGGCCACGAAACGTGCGACGCGTGTGCCGAAATGGGCCTGGGGACGGACGCATGTGAGCTGCGCCACTGGGGTCCCCGGTGGAGCTCCCTGTAGGGCCACGAACGAGTGAACGGCGAGGAGGACCACATGCAGAACCCCCTCCACAGAGCTTCGGTGGAGCTCCCTATGGGGCCACAAGACGTGTCAGGGGCGCGGAGGACAACATGCACAGCCCCCTATTCGGGGTGTCGGTGGGGTTCCTTATGGGGCCACGAAGCGCGTGAGGGTTCGGTGGGGCCCATACTGGGGCCACAAGACGTCAGGGGCGCAGAGAACCACATGCACAAGCCCCTCTTCGGGGCTTCAATAGGGTCCCCACTGGGGCCACGAAGCGTATGAGGGTTCGGTGGGGCTCCTTGTGGGGCCACGAAACGTGTGAAGATGTGGAAAACCACATGCAAAAAAACAAATCATGTGGTTTTCGGTGCAGCTCCCTGTAAGGCCACGAAACGTGTGACAGGCGTTGACAACCACATGCAAAGCCCCATCTTCAAGGTTTTGGTGGGGTTCCCTACTGAGCCACGATACGTGTGAGGGCGCGGAGAACCACATGCAACACCTCCTCCTGGGGGTCCAGTGGGGTTCTCAATGGGGCATCGAAGCATGTGAGGGCACCAAAATTGACACCCGGAGGGCAGAGGCAGGGATGGGAGGAGGGAGGGAGAGGGAGGAAGGCGGAGGGGAGGGGAGGGGAGAGGAGAGAGGAGAGAGGAGAGAGGAGAGGAGAAGAGAGAAAAGTAGAGGAAGGGAGAGGAACGGAGAGGAGAGAAGAGGAGATAAGAGGAAAGGATGGGAGAGAGGAGAGAGGAGAGGAGAGGAAAAGTAGAGAAAAGGAGAGGAAATGAGAGGAGAGAAGAGGAGATAAGAGGAAAGGATGGGAGAGAGGAGAGAGGAGAGAGGAGAGAGGAGAAAGGAGAGAGGAGAGGAGAGGAGAGGAGAGGAGAGAGAGGAGAGAGAGAGGAGAGGAGAGGAGAGGAGAGGAGGAGAGGAGAGGAGAGGAGAGGAGAGGAGAGGAGAGAGAGGAGAGAGAGGAGAGGAGAGGAGAGAGGAGAGAGGAGAGAGGAGAGAGAAGAGGAGAGGAGAGGAGAGGAGAGGAGAGGAGAGGAGAGGAGAGGAGAGGAAAGGTGAGGAGAGGAGAGGCGAGGAGAGGAGAAGAGAAGAGATGAGAAGAGAAGATAGAAGAGGACAAGACAAGACAGGAGAAGAGAAGAGAAGAGACAAGACGCGGGGCGATATCGCTTCAAAACGAGGACCACGTAACCCGAGAACGACAGAACGCAGAACCCGATAACGACTGACCTGCACGACCGAAGTCGGTGTCGCGGATGACGTCGTAGCCATGATCTTGCATTGCCTGTGATGTGTCCCGTCCCCGTTCTAGGACCCAGGCGGAACGTCCTGGGCCTGCTGCCCTCCTCTGATGGGGCACGTCGACAGGGTCAGCCGCGTGGACCGGCCCAGCGATTCCCAAATGGGTCGGCTCCCGAGATAGTTGCCCTGGGATGGCCACGTCGCTCGAGATGGTGTCGTGACTAAAGCAAGTCATGCCAGTGCCTCCGAACCCACCAGATCCCCTAGACGATGTGGGTAGGCTGGGAGCGACAACGATCTCGGCGTCGTCATTGCACCGTTCCTGGATGAGCCGGGCGACGAGGTGGCCCTGGTCGACCACGTGTGTCCGCGGGGTGGCGTTGTACACGATGACCTTGATCTCCCCGCGGTAGTCGGGGTCCACCACGCCGCCGACGATGCCGATGCCCTTGAGCGCGAGACCTGAGCGTGGGGCAATACGCATGAATTTGACCGGTGGTGCAAATGCTGCCACGCTGGCGGGTACCAATTCCCGACCACAGGTCGGAATACTAGCGTTGGAGCTGGCGCACAGGTCGTAGCCGGCGGAGCCGGCGGCGCTTCGTGCAGGGCCGCTCTCGCGCTCGGACTGAGGACTTGGACCCCGTTGAATTCTCGCCCGTCGGCGTCGCGGTGGTCCTGCTCTCGTTGCCCACCGCCAGCAGCGTGAGCTGCTTAGGCGGCAGCCACCCAGAAGGTGGCTGGAGCTCGCCGAAGTCGTCGACTGGGATGCAAAGGTGCCCATTTGGAGCGGACTCCAAGTCGAATTGCATCGCTCCTGGGCCCCGGGTGATCTCATAGCAGCCCGGCCCAGGGAAGGCGAGGCGCTCGCGGTTTTTCGCATGTCTCCGCCACCCCGCTGTTGGACTGCGTGGATTGCAGACCTTACAGGGGAGGGAGAGCGTCGCCTGCGCCCTCCACGGCCAGAGCGCGCACGCTGTGCTGAGCGGCCAGCCCATCGCGCGATGCCGCGGCGATGGGGCAATAGATTTTCCTTCTCACCACTTGCGGCCCGCGACCCACTCCGGCCACATAGGGGGCTGGAGTGGGTCACGGACAACCTCACCTCTGAGGGATGGAGCTTCGTCTGCACGGCTCGCCGAGCCACTTGCTCGCATACCCCAGAAGTTGGCCCAGGCGCCGGCGCGGACGACGTCGCCTAACCGGCCGCCGGGAAGCGATGCCGTCGCCAGGTAGCACGGCGAGTCGCCCTGGAAGCTCGAGCCTGCACCTGGCGAAGTCGGCCACCACGGGAGCGCGCGCACACGCTAGGCAAGCCTGCACGGAAGAACGCAAAAGTCCAGGCGAGCGTCGCAGGGCGCCGGCGAATCCACCGCGGAAGCGGAACCTTAAGCACTGCCCGGAGATCTCAGAAGATCTTGCCGCGGCGTCCCGGGGGCTGGAGACGGCCGAGGAGATGGCGCCGTGTCCTGCCGCGGCGGCGTCTCCTGCGGCGCGTTTCCTGCCGGCGCGCCGCGGGCTGTCGCCACTACTGGCGTCGGACCCGCGCGCGCGCGATCTGCGCCGTGGAAGCAGAGGTCGGCGACGGCGTCGGCTGGTCTGCGGCACGCCGGGCAGTAAGTTAAACCAAGCTGGAGTCGGCGCTCCGCACAAGCTGCAGGCGGTACGCGCGGCGCCAGATGCGGCGGCACTGCATTCGCACGACTCTCTCGCCGTGAACAAAGGCCTCGAGACAAATGGGGCACCCCCTATCATCGCCGTTGAAAACAGCAGCTGCGGGGGGCGCAGCTGTCGCTGCAGCCGGCGCCAAGGGGGTCAGTCAGAGTCTCGGCCCAAGACCGCGCGGCTTGGCGCCGCCAGTCTGCCCGCTGTCGCGGTAGCTCCAGTGCTGGCAGTGCGCTGCGGAGCTCGTCGAGGCGTCGTCGCTGGGCGTAGTCGAGGTGGGAAATACGCTGCGCTCGGACCGCTTGCCGCCGGACACCCATGTCTCGCGGCCGGCAGACCACCGGGCCACTCTCCCCGATGGATGGCCCACGCCCACGGGCCTGTCTGCATTGAACAGGGCCAAGCCAGAGGGAGCGCCCAGCACCGGCAGCGGCGCGGGCGCCGGCGCCGATTGCGGCGGCCAAGTGGAGCTCGATCCGCGCGGCGCGCCGATGCCGAGCGACGCCACTGACGGCATGCAAGCCCAACTCGGCAGCTGCACTTCAGCAGTAGGCGGCTCTGGTCAGCGGTAGTGCAGGCGAGGCTGCTGGAGCTGTCGGCGCCGCAGGCCCGGCTGGCGCTGCCGCGGTGGGTCTGGAACACAAGCGCGGAACCTGGTGGCTGAGCAGGGGCTCGCACGCGGCCCATGAGATCGCCCATCTCCCGTCGTAGTCGCCGTTGCTCGGCGCCGCAGGGGTCGGGCGATGGCGATGGAGATGCTGCACCCGCCCAACGCGACCAATGACTGTGGCCAACCTGTTGTCACGAACCGTCGGACGAGACGAATTTGGCGGAGCAAGTGCTGCCGCTGCTGCTGCTGGCCGCGGCGCTGCCGATGCCAGAACAGGCTGTCCGCTGCCCCAGGGATCAGCACCCTGCACGGGGCCACTCGCGCCCGAACCTGGGACATAGTCTGCGCGCGGCTGGCGGCGTCCCTGATCATCCAAACCGCATGCGCGGTCGCCCGGGGCCGCTGCTCAGCCAGGCTCGGCGGCACTTGCTGCCCCGGGGTAGACGGCGGCGAAGATGCCAACGGCGCTGGGGCGCAGGCGTCGAGGAGGCGAGCGCGCCCTTGACTGCGGCGAAGGGGGCAGTCGCGCACCAGGCAGGCGTTCCTCCGAAGCACACTTGCGGCAGTTGGGTCGCGCCCCGCCAAGACCCATGGATTTGCCTTGGCCGCCCGAACCCACGCCCCCCGCCCTGAACCCCCCTTTCCCTTCACCCTTGCCCTTCCCGAAGCCCGCGAAGTGTCTCTCGGAGGTCATTTTCGGACAGGTCGACCAGGAAGGTCTGGTCCCCCTTGCCGCGGCCCTTGCCCCTCCCCTCGATGACCCTACGGGCGCGGCGCGCGGGCTTGCGGTCGCTGAAGCGTCGCCATCGTGCTTTGGCGCGCCCTGGCTTGTTTCTTTCACAGCGCGAGGTCTGTTTATCGAGCCATAACTGTGGCCTCCAGCGGCCGATCGGAGCAATTCGGGCACCTCCAGAACGCCCTCGACGATGCGCAGCTGGCGAAAGGCATCCCTCCAGAACGCCCTCGACGATGCGCAGCTGGCGAAAGGCATCCCGAACCGAAAAAGCCTCCCAGAACCCGAGAAAACGCTCGATAATCTCGGAGAAACCCCGATCCCTCCATCCTCGCCTCCCCGAAAAAACCTGTCCTGGCTTCTCGGGCCCGTGAGCGAGGCCTCTCAAGTGGGGTCCGAGTAGATGGGGTCGGAGAACCGCGCCGCATCGGCGATGCATCAACGATGCATCGGCGATGCGTCGGCGGTTCATCGGCGACGCCGGGGTGGAGAAAAGGGGGCTCCGCATCGAGCCGCATCGTCGATGCTTCCGACCCCATTCCACTCTGACCCCATCTGGGAGGCCCAGACGCACCCACGCGCGCCTCCGGACCGCGCCTCCCGCGCGCTGAGCGCCGGGGGGGCCGCCGCGGACGGCGGGAGCCACTGGCCGCCGCGACTGCCTGGCCGCCGCGGGGGGCGCGCAGGACCCCGCCCGCCGGCGGCGGCGGCGGCGGCGTCAGCGGCTGCGACGGCGGCGACGCCAGCGGCGGCGACGGCGGCGACGGCGACGCGACGGCGGCGTCGACGACGCTGGCGACGACGAAGAGGGGGGGAAGAGAAGTGGGAGGAGCGGAGAGGGGGAGGAGG